CCAGTGTGAACGGAACTCAATTTTGATTAGTGCAGAGGTGACCCGGTGGTCTAAAGGGAGGATGAAGAACAAGGAGGAGATGGCTCAGTAGAGTCAGCGAGCCAACAACTACAAAAAGCGGGAAGGGGCTGGTCCACGTGACACCCACCTGGGTTATTTTTTGTTTTTTTGGTGAGGAAGATTGTCCCTGAGCTGGCAACTGTGCCAATCCTCCTCTACTTTGTATGTGGGTTGCCGCCACAGCATGGCTTGATGAGCGGTGTGTAGGTCCACACCCGGGATCTGAACCCATGAACCCGGGGCTGCTGAAGTGGAGTGAGTGAACTTAATCACTACGCCACTGGGCTGGCCTCCTACTTGGGTTATTAACTGGCACTTATCAAAGTTCGGCTCCTGCCCTCGCACAGAGGCTGGGAGATGGCCCTGTCCTCAGGTGTGAGGACAGTGAATTCTTCTGGCAGCCTTGAGCTTTCTCAGGCAGGTACTTTAAGGGGGGCTGGGGTCGTCCTGGGGATATGGCCTTGAGCTGTTAGAAACCATGTTAGTGTTTGTTCAGGTCTTTTATTTTTTGGTAAGGAAGATTGGCCCTGAGCTAACACCTGTTGCCAATCTTCCTCTATTTTGTACATGGGATGCCACCACAGCATGGCCTGATAAGTGGTGCATAGGTCCGTGCCTGGGATCCAAACCTGTGAACCCCGGGCCGCCAAAGCGGAGCATGCAAACTTAACCACTATGCCACCAGGCCCCCCCCCAATCTTCCTCTATTTTGTATGTAGGTCACTGCCACAGCATTGCTGCCGACAAGTGGTGTAGGTCCACGCCCGAGAACCAAATCTGGGCCACCAAAGCAGAGCGTGCCGAACTCAACTACTAGGCCACGGGGCTGGTCTCTGTTCAGGTTTTTATAGGCCTAATCAAGAAGCAGGCTCAGAGGAGCCTGGCTAGTGTTTGGGCAAGGAGAGAAAATCATTGTCACCACATACCCCACATACCATACAATCCACCCATTTAAAGTATACAATTCAGTTGCCAGCCCAGTGGCATAGTGGTCAAGTTTGCGCACTCCACTTCAGCAGCCTGGGGCTCGCAAGTTTGGATCCCACGTGCAGACCTACACACCGCTCATCAGTCCATGCTGTGGCGGCGTCCCACATACAAAATAGAGGGAGACGGGCACAGATGTTAGCTCAGTGACAATCTTCCTCATCAAAAAAATGAATAAAGTGTACAATTCATTGGTTTTTAGTATATTCGTAGAGCTGTGCAACCATCACAATAACAGATTTTGGAACATTTTCATCACCCCCAAAAAAACCCCATTCCTGTTAGCAGTCACTCCCCACTTTCCCATCCCCCCAGCCCCTGGCCACCACTGATCTACATTCCATCTCTATGGATTTGCCTGTTCTGGATCTTTCATATAAATGGAATCATGCACTATGTGGGCTTTCATGTCCCGTTTTTTTGCTCAGCATAATGTTTTCAAGGTTCATCTATGCTGTAGCATGCATCACTATTTCACTCTTTTTTATGGCCAAATAATATTGTGTTGTACAACTATACCACATTTTATTTATCCATTCACCAGGTGAGGGATATTTGGGTTGTTTCTACTTTTTGGTTATTATGAGTTATGCTGCTATGAACATTTGTGTGCAGGTTTCTGTGTGGACGTATGTTTCTTAGCCCCTGTAGCAATTGGCCCAAATGTGATCAATAACTGCCAGCTTCCCTAATTTCTGTCTTCGCTTGCAGCTCAGAGCCGACCAGAGAAAGCCAGACATGCTCCCTAACCGGTCACACAGGTCACCCACTTCTAGTCAGCCGCCCGCAGCTTCCCCACGCCAACAGCCTCCACTCTGGGCACACCTGAGCCCCCCTTTCTTCACTGTGCAGCTGTCCCCCTCCTCCACATCTCTTTGAGTCTCTGCCAAAATGCAAGTGACAGTGGCTGCCTCCCTGCTCGAGCAAGCTGAGTACACAGCCTCTGCTTGTTCTCATTTGGGCGGTTTTTGTTCCTTTCTACAAGTTTTGTAGTTTTAGCTCTGACATTTAGGTTTATAATTCATTTCCAGTTAACTTTTGGCTACGTGTGTGGTGAGGGTCCAGCTTCACTCTTTGCATGTGGATGTCCAGTTGTCCAGCAGACTATCCTTTCCTCATTGAATGGTCTTGGCACCCTGGTTGACATTTCTTGACAACAAATACAGATTGTGTAACTTTTCGTGAACTATTGAGTCTTAAGAAAAAACAGCTGAGATTGACTCATCAGATGCCGGTGCTGCTCTCCCACCAAAGTGTGAAATTAATCAGCTTGACTCTTTGGGGCCAGGTGACCTGCAGGTGGGGCAGTGGAACCGCAGGACTGAGGCTGGGGCCAGCCCACCACTTTGCTCACACTCCCAGGCTGGTTTTGACCCCACACAGATGAGGAATGGGGGGTCCCTGAAACGAAAACTCCCTGGGAGACGGCCAGCGTTCACGCTGGCCCCCAGACGTTTCCGCCGCCAAGTCCCAGGAAGCCACAGACTCTCTGGAGGGTGGATGGGCAGGAGCTTTGCCTAGTGTCCCTCCCAGTCCGCCCTCTGCACCCTGCCCTGCAGTGGTCCCCTGCCAGGCCTGTCCCTGCCAAACCAGATGGGGCACTTTTCCCCCTCCAGCCCTGGTCCAGGGAGGCGCTGCAGAAACGGGCCTGGAGGGAAGGAGGCATGCCCTGGGCACATTACAAGGCGGGTGAGACCATGCCGTGCTCCAAGTCAAAGCAGCTGCCAGGAGAGAGAACATGGCCCGAGTGGCCAAAGTTTCTGGAATTTGCTGGCTTTTTAACTCGCCAGGGGTCCGAGGGAAGCAGCAGCCTCCCCCATGACTATATTCACTCACCTCACCCCAACTACCTTGGGGTGGGGCTGTTTCCAACCCAGGCATTCGGGGCTCTGTGCAGGCCCTAAACCTCCCAGAATCAGGCCTGTGTGTGCACACTCTGCCCAGAGGGTTCTTCGGACGCACCGAGCCAGGCCAGTCCCTGGCGCGTCAGAGCTGCAGACAGGCTCTTGATGCGCCTCCACAGCACCCCTGTACCCCTGCCCTGGATCCTGGAAGTCTGGCTCCTTCTGTGCGTTTCCAGGCCAATGGCTGCTTCCTGCCTGCTGACCTCCAAACTCCGGCCTGAGACTCTGGACACCATGCTTGTTGCCCAGAAACGGGACACAAATCCAGATCTATCTGCCGGTTTTAGGAAATTCAGCAACAGAGCAAGGGGCCAAATCTGATAGGAGAGGCAGCAGGACCAAGGACCTGGCTTATCCTGCAGAGAGAGCATGGGGAGGGAGAGGGGACACCGGCAACCAAGACACTGAGCTGGAGACTTCAGCTGGACTCTGACTCAAGTAAAACCAACTCAACGACATGCAAGTGGTGATCCAGGAAACTTGACTGTAGTAGATTGACCGTTAGGTTTTTCACAAATAATTACTTACTATTGTAGGTATGTTAAAATATTTTTGAAGACTATTTTTAGAGACACGTGCTGAAGTCTTTATCTAAAACATGATATCTGGGATTTGCTTCCAAATAACCCAGCGAAGGCTGTGGAGGACGCTGAGAGCCTGGTGGGTGCTCACTGCCAAAGCTGGGGTGGGCACATGGGTGCCAGCTTGTTTTTTAATAGCTCTATTGAGATATAGTGGTTCTTAGTACATTCACAGAGCTGTGCTACCATCACCACTATCTAAAATCCTATTTTTCACAGGCTCGAAATTCTCCATAATAAAGTCCCCTTGCTCCAGGACTAGGTGTCAGAGGTCGTGATGTCTGAAGGAGCTACCAACAGACCGTCTGTTTGTCCCAAGCCCTGGCTAGGGCAGCAGGAGGCCCAGGCAGCTTTCACCTGTCCTGGGATGTCAAAAGGCCTTAAGGCAGTACCCATATGAGCTCCCACCCCAGCCTCAGTCTATCTGTCTGAGGGTCTGCAGTCCAGAGAACCAAGGTCTCCATAGCCCCTTCTTGGCTTGCTGGACAATGGGCCAGCACCCAAGAGCCCAGGCTCTCACTCAAGGGGTACCTCCCACCGCCAGGAGAGGGGAGCCCCCAGGGAGGTAGGCCAGCTCAGCCCAGAACTCTCAAACCCAGGGGGTCTTGCAAGCACCCAGGCACCTGCTGGGAAGGGGTGACCCTGTGGGGTCCACAGCAACCTTGATCCAGGAACTCAGCACTGCCCAGCCCCCAGCCTCACCCCTCCCTGCCTCTGCACTGGTTTTGGGCTGCTCCCACCCTAGCACCCTCCAACTCCTCTGCCCGCAGGCCAGCCCAATGTATCCAGCCAGGGCTGCAGCTTCTTTCTCCCTCTGGGCCCTGCCGCCCCCATAAACCAGAGAGCCCTCCTTGGAGCATGCAGAGGGGGTCTCACTGCCCCTGGACAGTGAGGCAGCCTGCAGACCAGTGAGCAGCCTGGATGCAGGGACCAGACAAGGAGCAGTTCACCGTCCTTTATTAGCATCCCTACAGAGTGACGTGGGCCTGCAGCCCCTTGCTGGGATGGCGGCACAGTGCTCAGGTGACCCAGGAAGGCAGGTGGATGCAGCCCCCAGCCTCATTTGCGGGGGGACAGGCTGTTTTGGCAGCGGAACCTAGGTGGTATTTTGGCTGATCAGCTGCTGGGGGCCTTGCAGGCGACTGCCGTCCACACAGAGGAGCCCCCAAGGACATACCACTTCCCACCTCTGCCCAAGGAGCCGGGAGGGGAGGCGTGGACAGCGTGAGGGACACTACACGCTCCATGAAGACAGCAGAAGTCTCTTGGCACTGAGAGGTTTTGGCGAAACTGTTAAAGCAACTGGGGGTTGGTGGGGTTGACTGGAGGCGGGAGGGGTGGGTGGGGACTTGGCCTGCCACCAGGGGCGCCCATGGGTCATACACTCAGACCCACCCTCCTGGGCACTCATACTCTGCTCCTGCATCATTTGTTCACTGGCCCAGGAGCTGTGGGGGGCACAGCTACCTTTGAGAACGTCATGAAAGCTATGGTCCCTCTCCTCAGATAAAAGTGCATGTGCGCACACATAATTTGGTGAGCAACCCCCTACTCTGCCATCCAGGTCCTCAAAGGAAGCTGCTGGAAGATGGTGCTGTGGGCCCTAGGCAGCTGTGCATGAAAGGAAGAAACCCAGAGGGCTGGAGGAGAAGGGGCAGGGGACCCCAGACCCCAGAAAGCCTGGACAGCCTGCCCCACCAAGTGAGTCATCAGGGCGCAGGGGAGGGTGGCTGGAACGCTAGGTGGGCAGAGCCTGAGGTGCTCAGGTGGGGGCTGGAGGGATGAAAGTCAGTGGAATGAGCTCTGGCCCTGGCAGGCTGGGTGGGGGCAGGAGCCCGGCTGGGGGAGGTCCTGGGCTGGCGAGGGCGGGGGCTGGAGGTGGGCTCAGGGCAGCACTCGGTCCCGTGACCCTCCCGGACTCTGGAAGAACCTGGCACTGGGGGCCAGGGGTGGCCCAGCCCGCTCCCATGGCCCAGTTAAGATGGCACTTTGATGCCAAAGTGTTTTCGAAGCTGTTCCAGAAACACAAACGTGAGCACGGTGTGAGGCATGAGGCGGATGCCGGCAGGCAAGAGGCCCTGGACAGAGAAAGGAACAACGGGAAGTGGAAGTGCAAAGGACCCAGGAGAGACCCCCCCAGCCCCGCCCAGCCCCTGCCCAGCCCCTGCCCAACCTTGTAAAAGGCCAGTGGCCCGAGCTTCGCGGTCTCCATGGCGCAGTGGAGAACACCCTACAGAAAACACAAGATAAAGCCATAAAAAGAAAAGCTGCTTCTCCCTCGAAAGGCACAAATTACAACAACTCTGTTCAGTGCCAGGCAGTGGCCCCGCACACTAAAATGTGGGGTGACGTCAATGACCCTGTAGAGAGGCCCGGAACGTTCAAAGGTGAACACAAGAGGCCGCCCTGCCCTCTGACGTGGCAAAACCAGAAGCTGCCAGGGCGCCCTCCAGGGGCAGGTGGGCAGGCCGGGTGTGTGGGGTGTTCACAGAAAGGTCTGGGAGAAGAGCAGGGGCAGCGCCTCAGGCGCCATACAGACAGAGAGGACACCGTGTGTGATGGTGGGAGCCCCAAGCAGGTACTCGGCTGTGGGCGCTGGGCCTGCCGACTTTAACTTTAAAAGGGCACCTCACGGAATTTCACTGACTGCAGCAAGCCGGCTGCCTCTGTTAACATGTCAAAGAATCTGATTTAAAAACACACACAGGGCCAAGGGCTGCTCTGAGGCTGGCTGAGGACGGCAACTGGGAGGGATGTAGTTACAGGCTGAAGGGATTTGTCCACATCCCGACAAGGACATGGGCTCACTTAGCCACAGAGCCCAGGAGCAGCAGGGTGGACCCCCCTACCCCCAGGCCTGCACTCTCGAGGGGGCTGGCACCTGCAGCCCCCACTCACTTGATACTCGCCCTTGGAGTTCATCAGGCGGGTCTTCAGCACATCCAGGGGCTGGCACAGGAATGTGGCACAACCACCCTGGGTGGGGAGAGGAGGCTCGTCACCAGCAGGCCTGCCAGGCAGGGCGTGCGGGCACCCTCATCCCCTCCCCACAGGCCTGCTCCAAAAAGAGGCCCTTGCATGGACCCCCAGGAACTGTTCTGGCCCAGGCACCGGGTGACCCACGAGGCTCCGCCCCAGTGCCCCCTTATGCAGCCTAAGAGAAGCATACAGCAGACCGCCAAAGCCTCCTTCCTCCTTCCTCACTCCAGGCGCCCTCAGCCCCCAGGGCTGGTCAGGAGCCACACCCCGCACTCACTGCGATGAAGCTGGCAACAAAGTGCGTGAAGATGCTGTCAGACAAGTACCCTGTGCTGAGAACCAGCTGTTTGGCTTGGTCATAGCAGGACAGCTGTGGGGGTGGCAGGAGGTTAGGTCTCAGGACATCCCCGGCTCCAGGGAAAGCAGACAGGGGCCCACAATGACACCATCTGGATTGATGAAGCACCTGCTCTGCAGGTCACCTACATGGTCACTGTGCCTGGGCAGACAGGTAAGGCCCAGACAGGGAGGGGCCTGCCCAAGGTCATACACCTGACCCGCCTGTGCCCACCTCCCCAGGCCCCACCTGTGGTCCGTGCCCACTGCCTTCCTCTGGGGCCTCTCAAGAGCTGAGCTTGGCCCCCCAGATGCTGCCCCGGGAGTCCCACCCTGAGCATAAGCCCTACCTGGCCCACGGTGACAAATACCCCTCGACTGGAGGCCATAGTCGCGCCCGAGAAGAGCTTCTTCAGACCCTCTGCCGGAGAAAGAGGGAGGTTGGGCTCTCCGCCCAAATCCCTCAGGCCTCCCCTCAGGTCCTGCACAGTGCTCCCCGCCCGCCCACTTCCTCGGGCCCCAGGACCCCCATGCAAAGGGCCTGTTCCTCTCACCTTCGCGGGCCACGCGGTACAGGCCATCCAGGGCATGGGCGTAGCTGCCGAGGGACACAGAACAGGCCCACGTGAGGCTCTCCCTGACCACTAGCTCCCATGGGAGGGTCCTCCCCAGGCCCCCATCACGGGCCACGAGGCTCTCCAAGAAGCATCATAGGGGCCAGGGCACAGGGCCTCTTCCAACAGCTCAGAGCAGTCTCCCCCGTCAGGGGACCTCAATGTCCGAAGATCCTCCCGAGTCCCACAAGAGAACACCTGGGTGCCCGCTCCTTTGGCGGGCTGCCAGCCCTGAGTCTGGTCCTGTCTGCAGCCAGTTACAGAGGGTGGGGGGATGGGATGCTCTGCCTGGCCCCCTCCCCCCAATTCACTCGTCCGCCTAACCATGGTTTTCGCTCCAGCTGGAGAAGGGCCAACGGACACCTGTGGAGCCACATTTCACCCCTGAACTGACTAATGCCGGTGCCTGGAGCTTAACTGCAACGTCAGTCCATAAACAAAGCCTTAGAATCGATAGTGTCTTAGACTTCAGGAAAAACAGCATTTTTATCATAAGAAAAAAATCCCAGCTGCCAAACCCTTTTAAAGGCCAAAATTCAAACTTCTAACCATCCTCTATGCACACATGTGCAAGATGCAAGAAGAGGGGAAGAGAGACGGCCCCTCAGCCCACTCCCAGTCCAATTCCTCCCACAGGGAAAGAATCCAGAGGTTCTAGAGGTCCCCTCATGATTCCAGAACAGATGTATGCAGTGTGTTTCCAAAATCCATCAGCTTCCCTGACTCCACTCCAGGTGACCCCACAGGCGATGAGGCCTGTTGCAGTCCCAGCTGGGTCCCAGCAGAGCTGCTCTGGGGTTTTCCTGGCCTAGGCCCCCTACACCCACCCATCACACCCCAAGGGCAAAACTTGGCCCTGCTACTCACTTTCGGCGCTGATTCTGGGGCAGCTTCATGTCATTCTGCATCCTGAAACAACCATGATGGTTCAGGGGGCCAGCAGGGGGCCAGACACAGCCCACACAGACCCCAGCAGGCAGTGGTGGCTCACTCTGGCAGTGAGCAGCTGGCCCTGCCTGGAGCCACCCCACCCCTGGCTCAGGGGCATCCCCCCCAATGCCCAGGACTCCAATGTCCGAGAGGCTTGTTCTGGGCTGAAAACTGCAGACCCCAGCAAGCGAGCCCTGGCCCTGTGAGGGGACAGGAAAGACCCTGACCTTGGTGGGACCGCACTGACCTGACGTTGACCATATCCGCGGGAGTCCCCACAAAGCCTCCGATGCAACCTGGGGTGACAGACCCCGGAGCCCACATGTGATGACTGGTGGTGCCCACCCACCTCAGCCCGTCCCCGCTTGGCCGGCTGCTCACCACTGATGGAGCCCAGCAAGACCTTCTTGTAGAAAGGTGGGGGCCCCTGGCTGCCCTTGGTCACATGGTCTCGCACAGTCTCATAGATGGCAAACCGAGTCAGGGAGTAGGTCATCTGCGGGAGAAAGGGCCCAGACCAGAGGGTGCAGGTAGGGGGACCATGCTGGGCATGCCCTGCACCCCTCAGCCCTCCCCACCCCAGCCTTCCTGGTGCACAGTCATCACTGCGTGGACCACAGGGACACCAAGGAGCCCTCCCAAGGCCACACAGCCAGCAAGTAGCTGAGCCAATTTGCAAACCCAGGGCTGGCTGAGTCCAGAGCCCTGAACCTTCCTCTTTCCCTCCCCGGGACTCAGTTTCCCCATATGTAAGTAGAGGTCTTGGACCAGCTGTGAGAGCAAGGCTGACCCCACGGAAGGCAGAAGCACACCCCACACTGCTATGCCCTGTGCCTCCTCAGGGGTCTCCAGCTCCCCAGGCCTGTGGTTCCTTCCTCCTAAGCAGCTTTGAAAAGGAGGAGAAAGTAGCTTCCATGCCCACAGAGCACCCACAGCGGGTAGACGGTGTGGGTGCATCTGAGTCCAGGCCTGGGGGATGCCAGCAGTCCTGTCCACCTGCTTGGGCTCAGAGCCTGGGGTCTGGGACTGGGACCTAAGGGAACCCCTGACGAGGGGGGCGGCCTTGGGAGGCAGAAGAGCCCTGGCCATGAGTCCCACCCACCCACCGCCCTGGGAGGTGGGGAGCCCCCGAGGTACCTGTCTACACAGGGAGGCACTCAGGCCGTTGTAGAGCGCCAGGACGCCGTCAGAGCGTACCACCTGCAGTGCCATGCCCGTCATGCGCATCTTCACCTCCTGCTGCGTCTGCAGATGCACCTGGGGGGGTTATACCCGCTCAGAGCAGTGCCCCGGGCCCACCCAGGCCACCTCTGCACTGAGCCCTTTCCCACAATCTACTGTCTTTACACTCCCATGACGACCTTGTGGGCCAAGTGCTATCACAGCCCGCTTAGAGATGGGAACTGAGGCACAGGGGTAAAGAGGCCTCCTATGGACATCCAGCTGGGGTTGGAGCTGGGACTGAAGGAACACAGGAGACTTGGAAGAGGCAGGTGAGAATTCAGCGGGGGCCAAGGGGGAAGGGCACTCCTGGGAGAGCCACCAGATGGCCACCTCGGAGTCCGTCCCTGAACACCCCACTCTGTCCAGCCCCGGTCACTGACCTCCTGTGCCTCAGTTTCTCTCCATGTGCTGTGAGGATTAAGCAGCTCAGTGGGTACACCTCACCCACCCCATCTCTGCCCAGTGGGCTCGGGGTGGTGGGGCAGCAAAGGTGGGTGGGATGGAGAGGGGCCTCATGCCCAGCTTAGTGACATGAATGCTGTCCTCCCACTGTGTGAGCCAAGCCAGAGAGGACAGAGGGCCCTGGGCCTGGGGGCAGGGTGGCCACGCAGGCAGCAGCCCCCATCCAGGCAAGAAGCAGGGACTGTGAGGACCGGGCCAGGACATGGGGCAAAAGGAGAGATCAAGCTTTAAAATAATTTTTCCAAGCACCACACCGAGAAGTAAAAACCCTGGCCAAGGCCTCTCTTCGAGGCTGGCCTCCACGGCTGCCAGCATTGCCTTCTGAATCCCAGTACATGGTCATATGCTCTCTGGGCCAGAGGATGGCCTGCCTCCTCTAACCCCCTCCTGGCATCATTCTGCAGCAAAACAGCACCTGGGGGGTTGGGCAGAGGGCAGTGATGCCCAAAGGGGCCTTGGACAATGGGCAGGTGACTCCAGTAGGGCCGGGGCCAGGGAGGGCTCCGAGGGCCCCTGGAAGCTGTGCCCACCCCTGGTCAGAGAAAGCAAACCTGACCCTCCAGGGCCCCACAGAGGTGGGGGTGGGCGGAGGGACCTGTGTGGGCATCTGGAAGGTAAAATAACTCAGCTGGGGGAGGGGCTCCTCTTTCCCCAAACCAAAAAGAACCTTCCAGTTCACTCACCCCCGCTCTCTAGAGGTCAAAGCACGCTCCAGGCCCAGCCCTGCTCCGTCAGGCCACCTCTCAGGCCTGGCCTCTCCCAGGACAGCCAGGTCTCAGGCCCATGAGGCTACAGCTTTGCCCCCGCCCCGCATCTGCTAATCCTGCCTTGACTGGGGCAAGAATTTTCACTAATTAGAGAAACCCACTCCCTCCCTCAGGAAAAAGGCTGCTGAAAGATGGATGCCCTCAGGCAGAGGGGGCCTGGCCAGGTTCCAGGCCACAGGTGCCAATCCCTCCCAGGGAGCCGGTGTGGGGCAGGTGGCTGGCCTTTGCCCAGTCCCCCCCCAAGCCCAGGCTCCCTGGGGCAGGGCCCCTGGGCAGACTATGTTTTGCACCTCTGGCCCTTCTTTGTTCTTTGTGATGAGAAAAGGTCAGAAAACAACTCCCCTTGGCTGGCCCTGGAAGACAAGGGAAGCTCTGTGTTATTCCGCCCCATAAGCACTTTTTTAAAAAATGTTAAGAGTGAATACTTCTCTCTCAGACAAATGCTCACCCTCAAAGGGCAGGACCTGCATGCACACAGGGCCCATGGCTCCCAAGCGCCCACCAAGTGCAGGGGGAAGCAGTCCAAAGCAGGGGAGCCTGGGTCACCCAGGCCACATCCTTCACCCGTCTCCCTCTGTGTGACGCGCACGCAATAGGTAGGAGGCCGCTTGGTCCATGCCCTAAGTGTTCTAGAGCCCCTAAACGTCTGTAGGTGCCAACACCTGTGCACCCCACAGAATCACCCCCTCAAATTGTACCCAAGCAAAAGGCGTGTCCTCAAAAGTGCAAAACTGCCAGGGGAAACTGACTCAGAGAGGCCAAGGTCACACAGGTAGTAAAGAGCAGAGCTGGGGTTGGAACGCGGCCCGCCAACAACCGGGAGCCGGCTGGAACGCGGGGCACCGGGGCACCTCCACTCCGGGGTCGGCAGAGCCTCGGGCACCTCCTCCTACCCCTCCACGCAGCATCTCCGGGCAGGAGCAGTGGGCCGACGTCTCCGCAAGCCCCGGGCATGGTGGCCCCAGGTCCGACCAAGCCCTCGCGGCAGAGCAGGCCCAGGCTGGTCGGTGCCGACGGGCGCGGGCGGCCACTGGCGCCTCCCTCCTCGGCGGGCGCGCTGGTCACCGGGTGCCCGGGCCGGCGGCCTGAGTGGGCGCAGGGTCCGGTCTCCTCGCGCCCCGCCGCCCGCCCCGGCCGCGCGCCGCCCTCACCTTGAGCAGGTCCAGCGGGTGCGTGCAGCAGGCGGCCCCGCACGAGGCCAGCCCGCCGAAGTACCAGCGCGACACGCGCGCCTCCGCCGCCATGGCCCGGCCGCGGATGCCGAGTAGCGCCAGCTGCCCCGGACGACCCCGACCCGACCCGACCCGACCGCGACCCCTGGCCCCGGCCCGGGCCTCGGTTTCGACCCCGGGGCCTGACCCCCGGTCCAGCCCACAGACCAACGCCACCACCCCCGCGCCGCGTTCAAAGCGCCGCCCGCGCCCGCGCCCCGAGCAGCCAATGCGCCCGCGCAGACCAGGGGGCGGGGCAGGAGGGTCGGGGCCTGAGACCCCGCCCAGAGCCCAAGGGCGGGCCCCGCGCCTTAAAGCAGCCGCCGCCCGGCAACCCAGCCAGAAGGGCCCTGCTGAGCCGCCTTCGGGGTCCCCACGGGCGCTGGTCGCGCCCACCCTAGGGAGCCTGCTGGCTGGGCCTCCCCCACTCCCCCGGGGAACCTAGAGCCCCTCCCCATCCTGCGCCGGCCTGCCCCCAGGGCCACCCCCACGGCTAGGGCACGTCTCCGAAGGTCAAGGCCGAGCAGCGGCCTGGGCTCTCTGCCAGCCCCCACCCCTCCCAGAGGCCGGCCTCCCGCAAACTCCCCGGGCCAGCCGAGGCCCTGAACTTGAGCCCCGGCTCCCAGGCCGGCCGCAGGCCTAAGGGTCCGCCCAGAGACACGTGCAGCTGGAAGAGGTAGCAGGAAACCTCCTTGGGCCAGCCTGTGAATTACAGGAAAATAGGGCAAAAGGCAATTCGGAGAGACTGGCGGCCCCACAGACCCCCCGCCACCCCCGCCCGGAGCTCCCGGCAAGTCCAGCCTCAGGCCTCCCTCTGACCAGACAGCCCCAGGCAGCCACCCTGGAGGAGGCCCAGGAGGCGGGGCTCTGGGCCGTGGGGGCTCAGGGTCCTGGGAGGCGGCGATCGGCAGGCTGCCTGACCCTGCCTGGCCCAGCACGTGAGTGTAGGTTGTAACGCTCATCCCACCTCCCAGCAAACAACAGGAAATGCAGGTGTGCTGACTGCCCAGAAGCGCACCTGCGGGGCAAAGTGAAATTGGAGTCCTGGGCTGGCCCTGTGGTTTAGCCGTTAAGTGCGCGTGCTCCGCTACTGGGGTCCCTGGTTCGGATCCTGGCGTGCACCGTTGCACCGCTTCTCCCCCCATGCTGAGGCCCTGTCCCACATAAGGCAACGAGAAGGATATGCAACTATGACATGCAGCTATCTACTGGGGCTTTGGGGCAAAAAAAAAAGGAGGAGGATTGGCAATAGATGTTAGCTCAGAGCAGGTCTTTCTCAGCAAAAAGAGGATTAGCATGGATGTTAGCTCAGGGCTGAACTTCCTCACAAAAAAAAAAAAGAAAAAAAAAGAAATTGGAGTCCCGGAGCCCCGCTGGGGGCAGGGCCGCAGGGACCCAGGGGTCTCTGCAAGGGGCAGCTTCTGATCTCAGAGAAGGCAGAGCCAGAGACCCCCTCCCCATGGAAAAAGGCATGTCCTGCAATCCCAGCTTGGCCACTTCAGCCCCCAACCTCAAGGGAGGAGGGTGAGGGGCACTGGGGAAACTCCTGGTCCCCTGAAGCCACCGAGCACCTTGAAGAACAAGTCCTGGCCTCTGAGCACCCTGCAATTCTCTAGCGGTGTCAGAGCATAAGGTGCACCAGCAAACCCCTGTCTACTGGCCTAAAGTGGCCACTCGGAGACCAAGGGGACTGTCTTCTAGAACACCAGCAGTCCCCTGACCCCTGAGGTCATCAGCTGGGGAAGTGAACAGCAGGCCACAGAGATGGTGTCCGGCCGGGCGGAGTGTTGGCCACGAGGGCAGCACGCCTTTTCTGAAAGCAGGGAGGGCTGGATTGAGAAAGATGTCAGATGCGGATGGAAACCACACGGTGGGCGAGGGGCCACAGGTGTTCTCTGGAGGAAACCAACGCTCCACAAGGAAATGTGAAAATGTGTTACTGAACAGCAAGATGGCTTTCACAGCCAAAGACACAAGAGACTCAGAGTAGCACTTTCTTTAAAAAACCAGAGCTAACAGATCCGACTGTTACAAGGTGGGAGGAGCGGCCTCCTTGTCCAGGGTCCCACAGGAATTAGCGCCATCCGAGCCCGCTCCCCCTTCAAGACTGAGTCTCATTCAGAGTAAACCAAGATGTTCCACTCTGCAGTCGGCCAAGGGCAACATCATGGGTTCCTGATAACTCGGTGAAGCAGAGGTGACAGAAACCCCCAGGGTCCCGAGTCTGTGTAACAGCCCAGGAAGCAGGGGGCCAAGCCTGGGGGGTAGAGGGGCTGTCTCCTCACCAAGGTCATCGGCAAGACAGCGTCCTGAACTTGCTGCTGCAGGGAAACCCCAGTGCTTGCTCTGTGCTGAATGAGGACCACCCCCAAATTGGGAAGGGCAGGGCCCAGAGGCTTAGGAGCAGGAACTGAAGAGATTGTAAAAATAAAAATGTAAAGAGCAGGGCAGTGAAATGCATGAACTTCCATGAGAACTGGAAATACTGTGCAACAGTCAGAAATGTGGGAGGGATCCTGGAAAATGGGAAATGCACCAAGACTGGAGCACCCTTTTAAGAAAAACATGGATTTTGCAAATTACAGGTTGGTGAACTCAAGGACTCCCCAACCTAATTCTCAAATGGATCACAAAGACATATGCCTGAGCCCGAGGGGGTGATGGGGAGGTTGGGCCCTGGAGAGCAGGGCTGCCCAGCCAGGCCTGTCAGGTGGGACCTGGTGTCTGTTCTGTGGCATTTGCACGTTTCCTCATGGTGCCTAGGCATGGACAATGGAGCCGCGTGGGTCCCTGGCATTGGGGGGTCTGTGGGGGCAGGAGGCCAGAGTCAGCTGCAGATCTCCCTCTGCTGTGTCCTTTGTGACCACTTCATCATCCTGGACAGACACAGAATGCTAATTTCTACTAGGATCTGGATCTTGTAAGGTCTTGCAACTCAGGATGTACAACAGACCCACCTCCCAGCACTAAGCCTAGGGTCCAAGGCCAAGTGGGCTTCTGAGACTCAGGCAACCCCCAGGGGCACACCCCACCTATTCCCAGGTCTGAGATACCTCTTTATGGGCCACCTGTAGGCCAGAGCAGGTCAAGGGGAGCTGTGGGGGCCAGGACCCCCATCAGGAGGCAAGGGGAGCTACCTGGGAAGGTAAGGCCCAGGGTCTTCACAGTGCCTTCAGGTATCTGACTGTGAGCTCAGGTGGAAGGCACCAAGTGGACACCATCCAAGTGCCATCCTAGCCTGGTGTAAGTGAGGTGGAATGAGGTTGGCCTGATGGCCCCTAAAGTGCAGGACCATCCCACCTTTGGGCAGCCACCCCCAGCAAGTCCAGGATGGAGCAGAGGGCCCCATCAGCCTAGGGTAGGGGGGATTCCTAGTCATCACCCTGGCTCTCTTGGAAAGACGAAGGGGCTCAGAGCACAAGCCAACTTTCCAGGTCACTTGTGGAGGGGCCTGTGACCCTGAAGGCCTGGGCTGAGGGCTGTCCCTGAGCTCAGACCACTCCCTTCTCCCGTGGGAACAGGCAGCCTGGTCAGCAGGCCACACTCAGCCCAGGCGGCCCAGCAGTAACATCTGCTGAGGGAGGGCACACCCAGAGATCTGCTGATGGCACAACCCACATGCTTGGCCAGTGGGGCTCTCCGGGTCAGGAAGCATGTCCTCGGGGAGGGCCCCTAGGCAGTGTTGGGGCTGCTGAGCAAACCCACCTGGGAGCCTGGGAGCTCCCTGGGCTTGTCTCCACTGGTCCCCCCCAGAAGGCAGCACTCCCAGACACACAGTGCCCCCTTCCGGTCCCAAAGAGCTGACTTTGCAAGTCATTCTTTCAACAGGGCCAAGGGAGAGGGTGCAGGGACAGGACCTGGAGACTAAGGCTAGTGAGTGTGGGTCCCCCCGGGTCACAGGAACCTTGCCTCCTGAGAGTGGGTGCTCAAAATGCCCATCAGCCTCCTGTCAAGGGCCAGTCAAGGAAGGAATTCACTGCCCCTCTCCCAGGCTCTGCTGAGATGGAGCTTGCCCCGAGAGAAGGAAGCCAAAGGTCCTCAGAGCAAGACCGCACAGCTGCCTTCACTCAGCAGGTGCTGGGTGGGGCCTGCAGCGTCGGGCAGCCGTCGCCATCTGTACATGCCATAATTTGGCACCGGGCCACCTCCCTCAGAGCTCCATGACCTAGCCCCCCGGGGCCCAGCCCCCCCAAAGCTCCTCTAAGGGCCCCATGAGAACAGGAGCTGACATTCCCAACTGCTGCAGGGTGGCAAAGTGTGGTCCTCCCTCCTCCTGCTGGCCAAGCACCCTCTTGCAGGCCTGCTGTGCCGTTCTGGGGTACATACCTCATCGCCCGCCCACCTGGGCTGGAGACTGCGCTGCTGGCTCCAAGACTGCCTCTTTGTGAGGCCAGTGCTGTGTTGTTACATAGCAACACATGCTATGTGTACATAACACATTCCTGCTCAAGACTGCCAGTATGTAAAAAACAGGGCACTTCACAGTGCCCCACACCCAGCTCCTGGGCAAAGATCTGCTATCAGCCACGCAGCACCTGCTGGCCCCAGGCAGGACCCCCACTGCACTGCCTATAGGATGCCACCTGCTGTGGGGTCTCAGAGGACACGCCCCTGCAGACGGAGGACCCAGATGATCGGAAGATCACCTGCAGACCTCACACATCCCACTGGCCCACTTGACACACCACTCCACACACTCCGCGCCCGCACAATGTATTTTTCTCAGCAGCCACCAGGGGAGCGCGTGTTAACTCCTCGAGCGTTCTGGAGTTGTTGCCCTGGTGCTCGCAGCAGCCGCCCCTCCCTCTCCATCTCAGTAGGTCCATCCATCTTCCCAGAACGGAGTTGGCCACGTGGTGCCGGTCCGCAGTTCTGCTCCAAGGCCGATCCCGTCAGCTGAGCCTGGGTGCTGGGGTGGAGCGGGTGGCGCCTCGCCCAGGTCCCAGGGACCCCTGTCCACAAGTCCTCTGAGCTGGCCTACTCCAGAACCACAGTGCCACCCACCGCCTCCAGGGCCGCCTTGATCTTCTCGGCCTCAGCCTTGGCAACGTTGGCTTTGATTTCCTGGGGCAGGGACTCCACCAGCTTCTTTGCCTGCCAGAGAGCA